AACATTAGCTAACAAAAGTAGAATAGCTAGCAGAAATAAAATCTAAGGTGCAAAACTAGTGTAGCTAAAAGAAGCAGAACACTAGCTAAAGGCTAAAAGAAACAAAATACTAGCTAAAAGAACAGAATCCTATTTAAAAGAAGCTGAACACTAGCTAAAAGAAGCAAAATACTAGCTAAAAGAAACAAAACACTATCTAAAAGAAGCAGAATCCTCTCTAAAAAGAACTAAACATTAGCTAACAAAAGTAGAATAGCTAGCAGAAATAAATTCTAAAAGATGCAAAACTAGTGTAGCTAAAAGAAGCAGAACTAAGAGAGCTAAAAAGCTACTACAGAATGTACCTTTTAGGTACAGTAGCTAAAAGCTAAATAAGTTGAGCACTAACTAAAAGCCAAGCTAAAAGTCAAGAAGACTAAATGAGATGAAGGATGTGGTCGGGCAAAACACAAAGGGATCAGAAGTAGTTTAGTGCACGAAATGTAAAGTAAAATAAAACGTGTAAAACCAAACTGTGATTTCTGAATCAGCTTCAATAAACAGAAGTAAAGACTGTTGACTGTTAAAACCGTTTTGCTGGGAGTTTTGTGGTCGGGACATGTTTTTATTTCTTCCTCCTGCATCAGCGTCTTCAGTGATATTTATGTCTTAGAAGATGTTTGTTTGTCTTTTCCTTCGCAGGCCGACATGCCGCAGACACCACCGTTCAAGGGGCAGCTGAACTCCGGTGGCTACAACAACAACTCGTACCAGAGCCACGAGGAGGCCTACCATGACCTTTATTATCAGGACAGCAACCTGGTGTCCGGCTCCCTGGAGGCCCTCATCCAACACCTGGTTCCAACGGTGGACTATTATCCAGACGTGAGTGACGCCTCTTTGCTCTTTTGGTGTTGAATCCACTGCGGATTCGTTTCTTTGCACAGAAGGTTGAAACTTTTCCTTTTTGTTCCGTGTGAGGAGCTCTGCTGTGCCGAGACGCCGTTTGGTGCCGAAGTTACTTTCATTTTCCTCTTTTGATTTTTCTCCCATGCACGAAAACTTCACGTCCTCCTACTTTCTTGTTGCTGTCGTGTTTTTTTTTTTTTTTTTTTCTCACGTACTATATTACCCCTGTGAGTTTTGACTCTTGGTTTGAAACTTAAACGCCTTTTGTGTTGACTCACATGCTTTTATTTTTTTACTGTTTCCGTCTGTGCAGAGGACGTACATCTTCACCTTCCTGCTCAGTTCTCGCCTCTTCATCCACCCGTACGAACTCATGTCCAAAGTGTGCCAGCTGTGTGTGGAGCAGCAGAGACTCAAAGATCCTCAGTCTGACAAGGTATTCCATCAACTCCACAAGTTCAGCTCTTGTGATCTCCGTTTGCTCAGTTCCTGTTTTTTTTCGTGTTTCCAGCTGAGACTCAAAAAGATCACTCCGAAGGTTCTCCAGCTGCTGACGGAGTGGACAGAAACCTTTCCGTATGACTTCAGGGATGAGAGGATGATGCGCAGCCTGAAGGAGCTGACCCACCGGCTTGCCAGTGGAGATGAGGTCAGTCCACACGCTTCTCTTTATTGACGTGAACAAAACCCAGGAGGTCTGGTCCTGCTGTGTTTGTGCAGCAAAGCTTCAGGCGCTGCAGATGTTTTGCAGACGGCAGTGAGGAGGAGCAAAGCGGGGTATCGGTGGCAACAGAGCAGTTTTTGATGCTGGCTGGGTTGAGAGAAAAGCCCCATTGTTCAGGAGCTAGGTGGGTTTTTGTCCTGCCTGGAGCAACATGTGGATTGTTCCACTGCAGAAGAGCTGAATGTCCCCAGCAGTTAGCCTCTGCTGCACCGTTAGAATAAATCTTTGAGACGTCGGCTTGTTTTCGTCTTTTATCTCGCTGTTTCATCACTTTTAGCTGTTTAAATTCAGTAAAGTTCTGACAGCTAACACTACACGTGTTTAAGATGCAGTTCTAGTACAAGCTTAAATCATCAAACTAAAAGTGAAAGTGCATGCGTTTTCTGAAGAGGATAATTTAGCATTTTTTTTAGATAAGGAATGAGATTAGGATCAATAAGGGAGTTCTTGGAAGGAAAACTTGTCAAAGCATTTTCCTGCTGCAGTGTTTAGTTTTTAACTCTTGAGTATGAGACATCAAAACCGTTTATTCGGCCATTTTGGATGACAAATTGCTGCGTTCTGCATACAGCGACATGCATTTAGCATTGCATTAGTGCACTGCACAGCTGGCTGTGTGGTCAGACACTGGTAAGCACTAAAGAATGAGATCTGAGGATTGAAGCCTGGATCGTGCAGGCCGCCAGATTAATGTAGAAATCAATACTGTTCAGTTTTGTCTGCTGTTCTTGGAAACATGTCGGGTCCGACTGAAACGCACGTCTGAACTCGCACACACAGATGCCACATTTTGATGGTCACGCTCACTTCTTTTGATTTCACAGTAAGCTGACTGTGGCTGGCATCAGCAGCTTCTCCCCAAAGATGTTTTGATTGATGAAACTTTGAAAACAGAGACATTTTCCACCAGGTTCCACGGTACTTTCCCATGAGGCCATTTCATGCTTGGTACCAACAATAAAGAGAAGTGAGATAATATTTATCTGCTCCTCGTTTCTCTCTGTTTTTCCCCTCTAAAGTTAAATCTAAACAAAACGCTTGCTCTGAAAGTACCATTCCCTGACTGCATGCAATCACCTTTCATGTCAAATCTAAACAAAAATCACACACTCTTTCAGCATGCGAGCTACTTTAGCTTGTGTGGTTGTATGCACATGCGTGTGCCAGAAAAGGTTTGGCATCAGACTGGTTGCCCTGTATGTCAATCAAGTGATAAATTTCTTAGGATGGATGAGTTTTTTTTAATGGCATGCAATCTACCCATAATATTTCTATCGACATCTGGGGCACCGTGGTTCCCAACCCTGCATGTTTTAGTTGTTTCTCTGCTCTTCAGTGATTTAGTTCCTGCAAGTTCTGTTAAACATCCATTCATTCAAATCAGGTGTGTTGGAGCAGACCATGGTGGTGTTCCTCAAGGACCAGGGTTGGGAACCGCTGAGTATGGGATGGGGATGACTCCCAAGCTACTACCACGCCAGATTTGATCTTAGTAAAGTTGACTGACCTATAGCCATAGACTCGTTAATGAGTTGCTTTGGTTGTCATGTCGAATCAGTGCGACTCAAAACAATTATTCAATTGTACATTAATTTCAACAATTACCGTTTGAGTTTAATTGAAATTTGTCTAGTAATTTGAGATATTTTGCTAACAAACGTACAAATTAACATAAATAAATATAGCAAGATAGCAGATCTTTATTGACTGTTTATATATATATATATATATATATATATATAATTTTTCCTTCTTTTGGCTGAGTGTTCAGAGTATTTTGGTGTTTCTAATTGCTTGACTGTATTTTCAAAATGCTGACATCTGAAAATCTTCAGTAAAATGTTGAAAACTACAATGTACATGTACTCCATGTACTCGTGGAGCAGCAGCATTTGAACGCCCTACAACTATTTAAAAGCACAGTTGTTTACTCAGTGTTACAAAGAACAGTCTGTTTGAGTTTTGAGGGAAGTTTCTGTTTGTGACTCCGTTTATTTATCCTCAGGTGATGAATCGTGATTGAAACTGTAACGTGGTTTCTCGACCTGAGCATCGGATGACATTTCATTAAAAACAGCTCACTGTTCATGCATCTGCTCTGAACACAAGTTTCTCACAGATTCTTCAGGTTATTGTCTGGAAATGAAAACACCACAAGCTGGTCTGGTGACCAGAGTTTGAGGCGGACTCTTCAGAGCCGCAGCTCTCTGTAAACAGACTCGAGTCCAGAATAGATGCCCTGAACATCTGCTCGAGGTTGAGTTCAAACCACACTCGCAACATTCCAGGACCTTGATCTCCATAGTGAGACTGTCATTATGGACGTGGTTGGATATATAAGGAAGCAGCTCCTTTAGCTGGGATTTTTACGTTTTTGCTTAAAGCTGCAGTTTGTCTTGGATCAAGGTTGATAAAATTATAATAGTCTGATCAACTTGGGGTCCTTGCATCCACATCTTTAAATTTACCTGCGTCTGTAGGTATGGAGAGCATAGTGGCGGCATCAATGCTGTTTTATAGTAAAGAGTTTTTTTTTCTTTAGTTTTTAAAGGCATATTTTGGTGGCACGGTGGGGCAGTTGGTCGAGCTGCCGCCTCTCAGCGAGAAGGTCGCGGGTTCAAATCCCGGTCGGTCCGGGGGCCTTTCTGGGTGGAGTGTGCATGTGTTTCCTCCCACAGACCAAAGACTTAGACCAAAGATGTTAGACTGACTGGTAACTCTAAATTGTCCCTAGTTGTGTTGTGTGTTTGTCTCTGCGTCCCTGTGATGGACTGGAGACCTGTCCACTTCGCGACCCAAAAAAGAAGCCGGTAAAGATAATGGATGGATGGATGGAAGGCATATTTCACTCAATCAAGACCCTCTCCGGAGCAAAACCGATTATCTTTCTTGAACTTAAAAATGTCTGTTTGTTGATTCCAACGTGTTTCCGCTGCATCGTGGCTGTTTGTCGCCTAAATAATCCTGCCAATGCATCTTTTACTATCTGTTCATCGGTGCTGGACAAATAAACAGTTGAAAAAAGCCGTCTGGCCTTCGGTTGGGTCAGTTGGTGATCCACAGAAGATGGCACCACTCAGCCAAGAATAACAGAACCTCCAAAGCCAAGAGCCCAACCACGCTCTCGGTAGTGATGGCGTGCGCTGAGCAGTCATCTGCCGCCTTCGGACAGCTGCCAGGGCTGATCGTGTTGGGGACTGCGAGTCCCTGTTGGGCTGCCTCAAACGTAACACCAATAATTGTGAGTCCCTCTCCTCAGAAGCGGCAGGCCATGTTGTCTCAGAGGAGGTCTGTTACTATATTTATCTGAGCCCAGCGTGTTTGTAGTGTGGACCAAAGCAGCAGATGGTTGACTCTGAAGTGGCAACTGGAGGGATTTTTACTGCAGGCGAGCTTCATTGTTGTCCAACTCTGTAGGGGTACGATCAACCAATAGCGGAGCTCGTTCATTAAAAATTATTTTATTATTAAGAAAAATGTGTTTTCAGTTTTCTCAGTAGTTCCTACTCTGAAGACCAGGTTGGTTAGAGGATCCATCAAAATCTGACGTTTTCTCCTCAAATGGCTGTGGCGGTTTTACACACCCAGGCTCAACATTTGGTGTATTTCCAGCTTTTCCTCTTCTCACCATATTGAGCTGAGCCTTGCTTGTAGAATGCAAGTCGTGAAATTTGAATGGACATAAAGTCCAGCAAAGAACTCTCCCTCCTAGATTCACTAGATTGTGTATAAACGCACACTTCTTTCCTCTGCAGCCGTTCTTATGCAACTTCTGTGCTGAACGGTCGGTGAGAGAACAGTTATCCAGCAGTGGTCTGTTATCAGTCACAGGAAATGTTCAGAGCATGGTGACCTCTTGACCACAAGACCCCTCTGCTCTGCCCCTCCTGAGCATGAGGAACCTTGCATAACATCCCTGCAGGAAAGAGAGGACCGTGTGCAAAACATTTAATATTCTGGGTGCACGCTCGGTTGTTCATTTGCAAAGGGCTGATCTTACATTTCTTTGTTCTGTCCCTGTTTCTGTCAGGTGTACAAGAAGGCAGTGGGTCAGATGAGCCAGGGTCTGATCAGGAGGTTGACGGTTCTTAGCCAGTACGAGGAGGCACTGGTGAGGATCAACACCACGGCGACCGAGCGGCTAACGGCTCTGAAGGCGAAACCTCAGGCGGCAACACAACGAGACCTGCTGTCCATCTGCAACGACCCCTTCACTGTCGCCCAACAGCTCACGCACATAGAGCTGGTGAGAATAACACAACACACACGAATAACAGTTATTGAGACCAACCAAAATTCATACTCCAGTTTTCCACAAGTTTTGTTGCATTCTAACGGCTTTCAGCATTCTTGTTGCTACTTTAGACACTCGTGTATTAAAACATTCAGGAGATGATTGTTTTGAATGTTTTTTTTTTACTTTTCTGAACATTTAACATGAGTCTAACCTGCATACATAAAGTTTGAATGAATGGATTTGCAACTGTTTGTCTAATATAATACATTGATGTCTTCAGACACATTGTTCTGTTAGAAAACTGCCATTTCTATCTTCTTATGTTCTAGTTTTTAGCTACTATTCTTTTAGCAAGTCCTTTGATTTCTATAACTGTTTTGCTACTTTTACTACTACAAATTTTGGAGTTTAGCTAGATTTTTTTTTATGCTTTTGGTTTCTAGTTGGTTTAATGCTTTTACCTTTTGCTGGCTTTTAGCTAGTTTTTTTTTTTTTATTGGATCATCTCGGCCTTTTTTAAGCAAACGTTTTTCTTTCTTTACCTGGTGTTTTGCACATTTTCATTTGTAGCTTGCTTTTTGTTACTTTTGCTTTGAGCTAGACTGTTTATAAGAGTGCAAACCTGACACAAATGATGGATTATAAACTTAAACGGTGCTGCAGGAGAACTGATCTCTGCAGCTCCTCCTGCGTCTGACCGACCACAGCCTTGCTTTTAAACTGTGGCTTGTTGCAAGCAATCAACACGGCAAGAGTCTGGGGTTATTCCACTTTATTTATAAAGCACTTAAAAACAGCAACAAGGCATCATAAAAGAAAGAAAAGATGGGAGAAATGGTTGTTCAGAGGCACAAACCAAAGATTTCTTTACTTTCAGGAGAGACTGAGTTACATCGGACCTGAAGAGTTTGTTCAAGCCTTTGCCCATAAAGACCCTCTGGACAACGATAAGGTAACGTCTGCGTGCTTTTCTAAAAATACATCAGCAGATTAAAGAGTACACAGCAGTTACGCAATCTTGTTTAGTTCCTCGGCTGGGCACATCTGATCCGTCTTTCTGTTATGGGCTGAGTTTGCCTCCCAGACGGATCTTGAGTTTACACAACGTGGTGGCTGCTGCCGCTCAGGTCAGAGCGAGGGCGGGTGGTTTCCAGACGGCAGCAGCAGACTAAATATCCGCTCCTCGCACACGCTCACACACCTTACTGACAATTTCCTCAAATCACCCTGGCGTCTGGATTAGATGAGGATGTGTGCACCTCATCTCTTAGCTGCTGCAAAGTGTTGGGAAAGCAGGGGGCGTGTTCTGATTCTTGTATCTGCTGTGTTCAGCTGCTAAGCAACAGACCTTTTCTGGAAGCAAAGTGATGGAGGAGGGGGGACGTTAAGGCTTGCCCTCATGCCTTAGGCTAGTTTGCCTCGTACCCCCAACGAGCCACTTGAAAAGCAGGAATTGTGTGTGTTTGCGTATTGAAACGCGTCCAGTGGCGTAAGGCCAAAGGAATGTGTGGAATGAGATCAAGAGGAGTCCACACAAAGAAACCAGCATACATGAACAAAGTTGGCCATCAGCGTGGTTCTACGTTCACTTGGCCAATTCAGTTTGCTCAGCGATGTGGACTGAGACTGAGACAAAGCAGATATCAGCTTTGTTCGTCTCGTTCCGCGCAAGTTTTGCTCTGCATCGCTAACAGAAAGTGTTGTTGTTGCAGAGCTGCTTCAGTGATCACAAGAAGGCCAGCAACCTGGAGGCGTACGTTGACTGGTTCAACAGACTCAGTTATCTGGTGGCTACAGAGATCTGCATGGTGAGTGGTGGAGAGGAAGACGTTCATGTTCTCGCATCGTAACCCTCACGTATAAACACTTCAGGCCTGATTTTGTGAGTCTCTGTGTTTGAACAGCCCACGAAGAAGAAGCACCGAGCTCGAGTCATGGAGTTCTTCATCGATGTGGCACGGGAATGCTTCAACATCGGCAACTTTAACTCCCTCATGGCCATCATATGTGAGTCGTTTTGACCCTCCGAACATTTATTTTAGATTTTCTCACATGATGTTGTTAAATCAGTTTGATCGATCACACAAAACTCCGGTTTTATGGGCAACAAAGAAGGACAAAAAAAACCAAAAAAACTGCCAATATTTTAAAAGTTATACATGTCCAAAAACATTTATCCCTCAAGCTCCTCGGAGACCCCACAGGGGGGCCGGGGACAGCCCCCATGATGTCGGTTTCTGAGGTGGGTCTGGTCACTTTCTCAGGCCTGAGGGCTGGTGGCGAGATGAGTGGAGGGGGGGGGGGGGACTCAGAACAAACCAAGCAGATGGTCAGCACTGACCAGAGAACGAATCAGCACATCGTGGAGAGGGGGAGAGGAGGGGGGAGGGAAGAGTGCCAGCTGTCCTCGGCCCGTCTCCCCTGAGAGACGGAGAGAGTGCCGCCGGCAAATCTGTCTGCAAAGCCTCATCTCCGGGGAGACACCGGTGTTGGGTTACCAACATTTACCATCAAAGTAAAAACAAATAAAATATAGTTAAAGATTTTTTTTCTCATTTCCTTCCTCTCTAAAAAATGTTCTTTATTAGTTGAGTGATAAAAAAAAACCTAAACTCAAATAGACTCAACGCTGAGTGTTGGTTGCACAACAACAACACGTGCACAGGTGTGGATAGTTCGTTTGTACTCTAGTTAAAGAAATAAAACACAATGAAAATAAACTGACAAAAGTGACAACATTAATAACAAAACGGCAAAGATTGGTCACTGGGTCCAAGGTGCGTCCTGTCGTGAGCAGCTCGGGTGTCTCCAGACCTGTCGTCAGTCAGTCTGCCTTACTGAAGGGGCTCTTTGATTTCATGGTGATTTCAGGAAGCTGGGGACAGAAGCTGAAGGTAAAGACTATAGGGACATGGTCCATACTGCACAGACAGGATGGAGACGCCTCCCTGGACGTGTCCACAAGAGGACAACTGACGACGCATAAGCGTCTCACAGAAATCACTTGATTGGCTTGAAAAGTGCAACAAAATGTTGTCAGGGGTACCATCCACTTTGATAAGGCCTTTTCATTAATTTGTTTTAAAAATAATTTAGTTGAACCAAAAGTCTGGTTGATTTTCACTCTTTTATTCCTATTATTGCTTTTGTAAGTTTCAAGTCGTTTTAGTGACCTTTGTGGATTTATTTCTTCTTCTTTTAAACAAATGTATCCACGTCTGTAAAAACTAGATGCATGACTCGACTCGAGGCAACTAATCTCAGTGAAATAATGTCCTGTTTAAACGTTGGCAGCGTTCGGTCTGCGCTGAAGGCGCGTGATGTGCCGCTGCCACAGCTAACACCTGTTCTTCCACACTGATGCTTTGTTCAAGTGGGTTTTCTGAGGCGAGGCACGTTCAGAACCTCTCGGGTCCCACTCTGGCTCCACGAGCTAAACCCAAACTGTCGTTCTGGCTCAGGAGGATATCGGTTCAGAGTTTTAGATTTCTGTTATTGGATTTGGGTCCGTTTTGTTCTGTTGTGTCGGTGACCCTGCGCACATATTAACATATGGGAGGCAGAAAGCTGGGAGGGGGACGAGGCATGTGCTGAACTCCATTGTTCCTGAGTCATTGTGTCACATCAGAGAAAAAAGAGAAAAAGCGGTGGGAGAAAGATGACGGAGGAGGAGAGGATGGGTGTGTGTTTTTGTCTGAAAGCAACGGGGGAGGTGGTGTGGTAAACCGATGGTGTTTACGTGTGGTACGTTCTCACAGTGTTCCTCCGGTGTGTGTGCTCGTCTTGCAGCTGGGATGAACATGAGCCCCGTGTCCCGGCTGAAGAAAACCTGGAGTAAAGTCAAAACAGCCAAGTTTGACATCTTAGAGGTGAGGATCTCATTCAACATGCATCACTCATGTTCCCAACCCTGATCCCTGAGGAACACCATCCTGCAGGTTTTAGTTGCTCCTCTGCTCCAACGCACCTGATCTGAATGAAAAGGCTTCTGCCGAACTTAAACCACTGAATCAGGTGTGTTGGAGCAGAGAAACTACAACACACGAACCGCTGACCCAAAGGACATTAAACGTTGGAGTTCCTCATTTATCAGACACATCTGGACAGTTTGTGTTTTTGTTCAGCGTCATTGTGTTGGGGAGTGAAGGGTGTGAACATGCTCACACTGAAAAACCGTGACACTCGTACTCGAGGTCACATTGTGATGTTTCTGTTGAAAACTGTGCTCTCATACAAAATGTTTCCAGGGCTTCATCGGTCTGAGGAGTCCCACGTAAACTGTTTTCCCCTAGCTAGAGTGTTTTTGTTCTCAGACTGATGAAGTCCTCCGGATAGAGGGCGAAACGTCTTTCCACAAAAACCAAATTGTTCTGATTGACCATTATTGGATTTGTACCTGGATGATTGAGCATGAACTTTGATGTCTTGAACCATCACAGCTTTCGCCAACACAATAGCTCAGTTCTGTGCCTAATTTAACTCCGAATCCCCTTTTCTCTGCAGCACCAGATGGATCCTTCCAGCAATTTCTACAACTACCGGACTGCCCTGAGAGGAGCCACGCAGAGATCCATCACAGCCAACAGCAGCCGAGAGAAGGTGAGGCTTCGGCTGAATTTACCCACCAGCACCTTAGACAGACTGTTTTTAAGGTTTTAAATTCTACTAAAATCCAGTCAGGTCAAGATTAAAATAAAACCTGAGCTTACTTTAAACAGACAGCCAGAACAAAATCAAACTTCTGTTTGATGAATGAAGTGCGCTCGAGACAGAATTCATTTCATACATCGAGTTGTTCCTTGCAGAGGGACACTTGGAGCTGGTTGACGTGGAACGTTTTTGAAGTTTGTGCCTGTACTGCCAAAGCACAATAACAATATAAAAGTAGTAAAATAGTGCATAAACTGCATAAAATCTAGTAGGAATAAAACACTAAAACCATCCATCCATCATCTTTACACGCTTCTTCCTTTTCCGGTCACAGGTGACCATGTCCAGCAGTCACTGTGCAAGAGGTGGAGGACACGGGGACACATAGAGACACTCTCACCTAGGGACAATTTAGTTACCAGTCAGCCTAATATACAAAGTACATTCTTTTGGTCTGTGTACCCGAAGAAAATTCACGCATGCACATGCACATGCACAGTCAACCCAGAAAGGTCCCAGGCTGGGATTTGAACGGGCGACCTTCTCACTGAGAGGCAGCTCTGTCAACTGAGCCACCTTTAACTAACTTAAACTAACTTAAAAGCGAATAAACTTTAGCTAAAGTCTAAAAGTTTAAAGTAGAAAAGTAAAAAAAAAAAAAAAAGGCTTTCTGATGAAGCAAATGTTTGCTTAAAGCCAAAGTAGTAGAACGGTTCAAAACTAAAATAGATGAAACCCGCTCGTCCTGAGCCTGGTTCTGCTGGAGGTTTCTTCCTGTTAAAAGGGAGTTTTTCCTTTCCACTGTTGCCTCTGTGCTCGCTCAGGATGGGAGACTGTGGTGAAGTGAAAACTCAAAGCAATCCGTTGTCTCCTCAGATGAATTAACATTTTTAACAGACTTTATGAATACGTGAATTTTCTGTTCAGTGTCTCGTTTTCGTCTGCACAACACGTACCTCGCCTTCGGCACCGTCCAGAGAACGCAGAGAGGCCGAGGTTGCGTAACGCTCAGCTCAGAGTGGACATGGAGGCGGGTCAAGAAGGGTCTCCTCGCATGAAAACAAAAACATGGCCGCCTGCCAGATCACATACTGTTCTCCGATGTTTTCTGACCGAGTCCTGCTCCCATGACTTGCATCAGATCGGTCTGGATGCTTTAACCCAAAATATGCAAACAATCCGCGAGTACACGAGGTGAAATGGAAAGTTCCCAAGGTTTCTGGTATGTTTGTGCTGCTGACCTCTTCTTAGGAGGGGAGGGGGGCTTGTGCATGACCTCCATCAGACGAGGCTGATGACTTTTTTTCAGAAAATAAACATGTAACCTTCCTTTTAGCCAAGTTTAGCTGTGGTTCTGTTAACTGGGAGGGCAAAAGAACTGGTTTCTGTGCTGATTCTTAAAAAAATGAATCAATCAGCCAAACATCTGATTTAAATCAAAATGTTTGGTTGTGTAGCAACAGTTTGACTCAGAGGAGGTCACTTCATGGTTTTCACGCCAAATGTCACGCCCAATATTGTTTTTCATTAAATAAATACCTTACGTTTATATTTTCAGGAGAAAAATCTCTTAAAACCTAGTAAAGGATTGATTTTTTTTAACCTATATCATATTTCTGATTTAGTGTCGCGAAGTTAAATAACTCCCAGTTCGAACTGAAATGAATAAAAGTATTTTATTATTTTTAGCCAACACGTCTTCTGCATCCTTCTGCAGCGCTTTTCATTCCTTCTCAAAGCAGAACATGTGCATGTTATTCCCCCAGGACGTGCACACGCATGTCATAAGCTGCATCCTGCCCCTGCAGACGCTTCAGAGGTTCAGTTAATCAGCTGTGCCCCAGTCGAGCTGAAGGACGGAGACGGACCCACCGGATCAACGGTTCTTGTTCGAACGTTCAAAAGCAGGGTGCGGTTTTGTTCTGACACGCGCAGAATAATTCTGCTCATGGAAGACGCAAGGAGTGAAGCACAAGTGGTGGATGATGGAGAACTCGTTCAGCTGCGCCTCCTTTGTGTGTCTTAAAAGCATCATGAATGTTTGATGGGTGGGGATGTCGGGGGGACAGGCAGGAACGAGGGGACAGACCGAGAGTTTCTAGGTCAGTGTTGCAGGTTTTTGTTTTCTCAGTAACTGAATATGAAAAAGGAAATTGTGTTGGGTGTTTATCTTTGATGGTTGCTGTTCTGCCAAAAAAACAGGACTCCCTTGAAAAACACGTCTTGTGATCTCAGTAGGACTTCAATAAGTACAAAAAAAAAACCCATAAAAGCTAATCACATCTTAAATTTACCTTTATCGTGACCTGAATCACTGGAACGTGCGTTATTGAAGAGACGCCTCCGTCACCATGAAAGTCCAGATTTATTGTGAAACTGTTTTGACCCGTCTGTCCTCTGACACCACACATTAAACACTGAAGCTCTGTGTTCCTGTGATGGACCGGAGATACAATTATCAAATTGATCAAGATGCAGCTCGATGTCTGTAAAAACGGCCAAGTTAGAGCTTTTGTTGATTTGTCGATCCGTCCTGTTGTCCGTGAGACATTTTGCTGAACAAAAAGCACGCGGCCGGTTTTAGATGAAAATCAGTTGGTGTCTCTGCGTTCACTGCAATTTTATGTTTTAAAGGATGTTTATAGAAAGCTCTCACACCTGTGCAGTCTCTGGGACCCCCCCCCCCCCCCCCACACACACACACAACACTCGTCTTCACAGAGAAATTAACCCTTTCTCCTCTTGTTTTTCAGATCGTCATCCCTTTCTTCAGCCTGCTCATTAAAGACATCTATTTTCTCAACGAGGGATGTGCCAGCAGGCTGCCGAACGGACACATCAACTTCGAGGTAACACCCCCCCCCCCCCCCCAAACAGTGTGACCAAACGTTATATTTACTACACATGGCAACAGCCGCTTCCCTTAACTTTGTTATAATAGGGAAGTAAGAGTTGAGTGCATCGGTTTGGTCTGTTTCTGTAGAACAAACATGAGCGGTGACCACACACTGTTTCCATTTGTGATTCTATGAATCACTTTCCGTTTCAATAATTCACCCCATCTTGGTAAACTGTGTCCTGTTCCCATTATATTTAAACACACCCAACACCTCAGAACAGATGATTTTAACCAGGTTGACGCTTGGTCAAGTCCAGGTGAAGTTTCAGGGCAGACGTCCTGAAAATTGAACATCTGGCCTGTTTGAAGCAAAAAAATAATAATTGCAGAGACCATTTCTTATTTATGTAGAGTCCTGAATATTCATGTTTTTGTTGCAGAAATTCTGGGAACTTGCCAAACAAGTGAGTGAGTTCATGACCTGGAAGCAGGTGGAGTGTCCGTTCGAGAAAGACCGCAGGATCCTGCAGTACCTGCTGACTGCTCCGGCTTTTACCGAAGACGGTGAGTTCTGGTTTGCTGTTTGCCCTACAGGCCGGGAAGGCGAGGCTGAAATTTCAAAATAAAAGTTTAAACCAGCCCCTGCAGGCTGGAAACGGTCGTCTTTAAATTTTATTTGGCCCCACAAAGCTGCCAAATTCTCTAACTGAACCTATACATATATATATAATGCTAATGCTAATGAATATATTGCTAAAAATATGCAAAAGCTACCGTATTTTCCACCGTACACATCACCCTGGTTGCATCAGTCCAAATATGTCTAATGGAAAAATACTGCTGATGCATCGTGTTTATTACACGTTGACAAGGAGGACTTTAACAAGAATTTAGCTAGATTAACAAACGATTATTTGTTTGTTCGACGTTACAGTAAAGGTGTGTCTCAGTTGAACTTTTACTTAATAAATGCACTTTGACGGTCAAATCAGCTGCATTTCGCCGGAGAAAATGAAACTGATTCAGTTGGTCCAGGCAGATCAGAAGGTGGCAAACTATGGCACGACTGTGTCATTAATAGTCACTTTTACCTATTACAACGGCATGCCATACTGCTCTAGTGGCTGAAAATGGTAGTGTTCAATATTTTCAGTCAGAATAAATAATAATAATAAATAATAAAACGGTCATATCTCTGCCAAAAATTGAGAAAAAAATCCATAAATATGTCGTTTTGGTGTTGCAGGGCATGCAAATTATGCAAAAAACAGCCAAGAAATACAAAGTTGGGAAATTTTATGAAATATGCTATAATCGGGTACCTGAATAAATATGAATATGAATAAAAATGGTACAATTTTACATCTAAATTAAATCATATTGCTTCAGATTTACCGTAAAATACAGAATTTCATTGCGACCTTTGGTTAAAATTTAAATCTTCAGCCTGAAGCAAACGAAAACGACTTTTTCTTTTCTTTCTTTCTTAAACCCTCAGACTCCTCGACACACCTCTGATACTTGAGATTCTGACTCCTTTAGTCCACGTCAAAGTTCTGGGCCACCGGCTCTGGCTCTTGTCACAGAGACCCAGAGATGTGTGAAATCCTACTGTCATTGAAGCACCCACCCAACCAGCTCATCATGTCTCTCAAACTAAATCTTTACTTTGTTAATTTATTTTTAACAACAAAAAAGGCTCAGTCGATTTCTCAAACAGAATAATTGGAGCGTTTATGAAAATCAAGAACATTTTTAAAATAAAAAAAAACTCATTTTCTTTTATGTTTTTCCATCACAGCTCTGTATCTGGCTTCATACGAGAGCGAAGGTCCTGAGAACAACATGGAGAAGGACAGATGGAAGTCTCTGAGGTGTGTACGACTCACCCTTCTCCTCCTCTTCGTCACACGCTGCAGCTCACACGCTGCAGCTCACACGCTGCAGCATGTGGTCTGCATGGGCTGATGCAGCTCACATGCTGCAGCTGCTGATCCCCACCCATAAGTGGGTTTTGTCTAGCATTTACAATAAAGATGTTAACATAAATAACTTAAAAATAATAATAATATAAATAATATAATAATGATAATAGAAACAATGCATCAAATTTTGTTAAATTTACAACAAAACTGGTGTCAAACCGCCTGGAAAAACATCCCCGGGTCGTTCCAAAGGGCTAAATTCTGACAGCCCCGTTCTGTTACTGTTCCTTCGTGGTTCAGAATGATATACGAGTAAATATTTTCCATCAATAAAAACTAGAAGAACTGTTAAAATGAAGTGGGAATGCTGAACGCTTTTGCAAAATAATACAGGAAATAAAAAAACAGGAAAGCACCAGCGTGAACGCTGAGAACATAGTCTGTGCATCATCATCGTCGTCGTCGTCGTCGTCGTCGTCGTCATCATCATCATCATCATCATCGTCATCATCATGCTGACTGCTCGATCTTCTCTCTGCAGATCTTCTCTGCTGAGCAGAGTCTGAACCAGAGAAGAGGATGTGTCCTGTCCTGCAAAGTGTCCCCGTGTTGGAAGGGAAATGACAATCTTAACATTGACTGGCGAAGACCCCCCAGACCCCCACCAAGCTGTGCCCCCCTTGCTCTTTGTGCTGTTTATTTTAAACAGCAGTTTTTCATCTCTTTGTACGACTTTATAGTCCTTTTGTTAAAGAAACACGACAAACCGTTCCAAGGTTTGTCGTTTGAGGAGTTTCGCCCCGACACTCGTGTGACGTTGAACTACAAAGTTAGCTGCTGGTTGGCTAACGCTACAGAGACGCTACACTTTCTGGTTCCAGACGCCAGCATTCTCCGTACGGAGAACCGTAACCTGAAACGCAGAGCTGTGATGTTTTTGTTGCCTGCCTTCTGGTCCATTCCAAGTTTCCTTTTGTTTTATGAGTTTGGTTTTTGTTGTGTGTGGAAAAATGCACTGGTTGTATTAAAAACGTTTCCGTTTAAAGTTTTCTAAAGTAGGAAGCAACTCTTATTTAAGTAGTGACTGAATTGGACCTGGTGCTGTGGTTTTCCGCTCCTGTGTGTGGGGCGGGGGGCACGGTGGCTGTTCTGCCCGCCGGTGACCCGTGCAGAAAAGTTTTTGTGTGTTTGATAATGTGACTGTTTTAAATGTTAAATTCTGCTTCACGTTGATTTTATTTATAAACCTCACATTCTCTCGTCATACCAGTATTTACTATTGTTGAATTTGTACCAGGTACATAACAAGCTAAAATATGAACAGTTCTCAGATATTTGCTTAATTATTTTTTATATTAGTTTGTATGAGACACTTATTTTTCAAGGTGATGAAGTTAAATGTTTTTGACTGATGTCTGCTCCCCCTCGACTGTTCACTGTAGTGACGTTTTGTTTGTGTCCCACACGGTTTCCTTTGTCCATTTGTGTTCATTCATTTGTATTTGTGTGGGTAAATTCAAATAGAGTAACTGTTTATAAAAGATTTAGTTGTGCTTAAAAGAGAAAGTTAATAAAATGTTAAAAATGATCAAGTGACTGTGGGTTTGTTGAGCTGCCCACCAGGAAACGGAGGTCCGTTCAGCCGGTTCTGATTTGGTGTCAACAAAAAAATTGGTTCGGAATATAAAACTGAAGTCTAGACCTATTGCAGGATTCTAGCTCTTCCTGCAGGTTCCTGAGTCGTTGCTAAAGAGACTGGCTGTTCATAGAGTTCTGTGTCCAAGCACATTAACAGAGAGGTGAAGGGAAAGAAACAATGTGGTAGAAAAAAGTGTACAGGCAATAGGGATAACCACACCCTGGAGAGGATTGTGAAACAAAACCCATTCCAAAATGTGGGGGAGTCGGCGCTTCAAGAACCACCACGCACAGACGTATGCAAGTTTCAGCTGTCTCATTCCTTGTGTCAAGCCAAGAGACGGCGTCAGAAGCGTCTTGCCACTGAGTGGTCCAAAGTTATGTTCTCTGATGAAAGTAAATTTTGCAAGGAAGAGGGGAGAGGCACAGAATTCACAGTGCGTGAGGTCAAGTTTCCAGTCGGTGATGGTTTGGGGGGCCATGCTGGTGTTGGTCCACTGTGTTTTCTGAGGTCCGAGGTCAACACAGCAGAAAGTTTAAGCGCACTTCCTGCTTCCTGTTGCTGACTGCTGGAGATGCAGATTTAATTTTCCAACAGGACTTGGCACCTGCACACAGTGTTTCACTTTTTGAATGGAATTACTGAATTACAAGACGGTGAAACCATCACATCTTCCATTCCCTGTGAAACCCACACAGTCGGTTGCAGGAAGAACATCTCAACACTGCAAAGGGACTCCGATTGTCTGACTTGAATAATGCTGAAAATTTACTCCTGTTGATCTCACCTGTTGATGAATGATCATTTTTCATGTAGTAGACATCTAATTTCACATGTTATAAGTGAAAACAAAAGTCGAAGGCCATTACCATCCAGCCAAATGGGTCTTCTTCCTGAAAACTGGACCATAAACCTGAACACAGTGCTTGCAGGTCATTGCCAAAGTGAGATGAGCTGCATCCCCCTGTGATAAGATCCACCTCCTGGAGCACAGCTTCGAGTATGCAAAGACATCTGAAAAATAAAATAAATGACTGTCATACAAGAAGAATGGTCATATGAATTTGAATGAATCTTACCTGTAAAACTGGCAGTGTCTTTGCATGGTGAAAACCATGAAACAATAATTAACACTATATCTTTCAGGACTTTTCCCTTAGCATCTTTACTGTAAAAAAAAAGTCTATGGGTTCATCTCTACTGTGCAAATGAAGTGTTTTTTCTTGTTTAACGTGTCAATTAGAAATAATATAAAGCTAAATTATGAATTGTGTGTAAATCTGAAACATAACCTGATGTGCCTCTCTTGCTTTGGCAATAAAAAATATATTTTTTATATCGCACACCAGTATTTTTAAAATCAAAGATGAAGACGAGTCCAAACATCAACAATGCACTGAGTCAGGATCTGCCCGACAACACAAGCAACATCTTCACCCAGATCTTTGGACTGGTCTAAAATCTGTGCAAGCATACGAGAGACAAATTGAAGATAAACGCGTCTTTATTAACTTGCTATTTCACACCGTTATGGATTTCTTCTGTGCGTGAGCTGATCTGTGGACATTTTACTTTTTTACTTGTGTACTGTTTTCCCCCCCACACATGTTCTGAACAGTCCTGTAATCTTACTGGCCACTTTTCTTTAAGCAGCGAACAGCTCTGCTCTGAATTATACTTTAACAAGATTATTTTTAGTCAGTTCGTTTTTAAAGTCACATCAGTCAAACAGCTAGAGAGAATAAAACAGGGACTAAAAAACAGAAAAACTAAAACCAGCAAAATTAAAAATACTATAAACACTATAAAATCTTTCAACTAAGAACGTCTTCAGTCCTTTCTTAAAACTTTCTGTAGTCTGGGGTTTCCTTAGATGGTCAGGGAGGGTGTTCCATAGCGGAGCAGCAGAGCAATAGGAGCAATGTACTGCTCGGCAGGGTATGGATTAATTTATAAGATACTATTTATTTATTTTTATGAAGTCATTGGCAGCCAGTGCACCCCGGTCTATTTGTTGAAAAGCCCTGCTTTAAGTTTAATTTGGAGGGAAAACTGTGAATTAAAAGTGTCGATTTGTCTCCATCTTGTGTTTAAATAAGACAAGGACAACTGACCACAGTCAGAGTTTGACAGATCCAATATATATATATATACATATCTTCAATGTTGGTTGAGATCGGAAG